ACCTCTCCAGGAAGCTTTCTCAATTCAAATTTCTGGATCCGCAGTGAGTTTGAGTCTTATATAGCATTGCATGTTTCCAAGCGATACAAGGCTTTGTCTATATAAGACTCAAACTCACTGCGGATCCAGACATTTGAATTGAGAAAGCTTCCTGGAGAGGTTGCGAAACGTTTTCAAAACTTTGAAAACCAAGTCCAGTGGATATTTTTTGAATTTTTACGGAATGACTATGACCTGGATGACTGAGAACCTTCATCAGCATAAGGTTTCTGCTATATTTCTAAACAAGCAGATCATTGGGTTCTTTATAAAAAAGGCTGGTGGGTGTAATCCGGTTTTAAATGCAGTTCCTTGACCATGACATAGTCAGTACCCATTAGATATGACAGAATATCTAGTATCCAGTAATGCTCCTTAGTAATTTTCTTATTAAACAATCTGTACTCGTATGTTTCTGCCCTGTCAAAACGGAAACAACAGCTCCTGCTCATGTTGTATGTGTTGTTTGCGTTATATAATGCTCTGAATCTTTGTGGTATCATAAACCCTTTTTTTTTTCAAAACTGCAGAATGCTGCAGCTTTGCAGACAGTGCATCCACCCATCCAGTTTTATTCCTTTCATGCAGATTAAAGAGAATTGCTTGTTTTTTTAAAGTGAGAGTTTTCCTGGTAACTTTAACTTCAGCTTTTTTTTTTTTTCAAGCATTTAAGTAGATATTGTTGTCTGTTCTGCTTATTATTAAATTATCATCTTTGATTGTTATTTTAGACCATCAGTCAAGCTTGTCTTGGCGCTTGGCCTCCAGTCTGCCATGCAGCTATGAGCTCTGCCCTGTGGAGCGGGGACAAGGCTAGCGGGGGCTTCAGGGAGGACTGGCGCTTCTACATGGTTGTGAAGGAATGCTCTGTGGAGAAGCCTACCCAAAAGACCCTGAGGATTCCCCGTGGTAGCCTCGGCCAGGCCTGCCAGGAGCGCAACAGCCTGGGCCGAACGCTTCCCCCATGCAAGGGCAAGAAGAGCCTCCGTATCCTGGACCAGACCAACGTGGTGCTGAGCCTAGATGAGCGGGACGTGGTGGAGCTGGACGAGAAGCTGGCTGAGCTGCTTTTCCCCATCACCAACTGTGAGGAGCGATACAACTTGCTCTCTGACGAGGAACGGCTCGAACGCGTCCGAGACATCGACTGTGGCTCCAAGGTGCGCGTCCAGCTGCGCTCGGGGGATGAACCTCTACCTGGAGTGGTGCGTTTCAAAGGCTCGCTGCTTCCCGACCGAGCCCTCTCCGGAATCTGGTTTGGAGTCGAGCTCCTGGTGAGGATTAGGATTTCTATAGCAGTTTCATTACTAATCAAAAAAACAATAACAAATTAAAGACTTTTTGAATAACATAGATTATATAGGGGTGAAAATAACTTGTAAGCTTCCAGTTACTTCAACATGAATGTATAAGAAATATGTAAATGTTTTTTATAACCATAGAAGCGGCTCAGATGTTCAACAAAATTAGATTTAAAAAGTTGTTTTGTTACTGTCAGTGGTATATTTTTAGATTAGCGAAAGTAGAACCTTGCTTATATGTATTAATTTCCTCACAGTAGTATTTTGTTACCTACTCTTATCTATATATTTGTTTTTTATTTCTCAGTAACACACCTAGCATTAACTTTATCAAATAATTTCTGTATATTAGAATGTAATAATGCAAGATAATTTGCTTCATTGCACAGAATAATATAATTTAATTAAGCATTACTTACTGCTAATTAATTTATAAAACATTGCAGAAGAGCAGGTAAAAAAACAACAAATTGATAAAGGATTCGCAAGAATAATATTTTAAATTATATCACTTAGATTGTTAAATTTCTTAGTTAAATCGACTTTTAAGTGATCATCTATGAGAGGATACACAGGTTTTGAAAACGAGGTTCTGTGAAGTTATAATAGCTGCAGGAGGTGCTGGACAGTTAAAAATATGTTCTGTTTGTGCTCAGATTTGATTATGTATTTTTATTTGCCTTCAGAAATAAAGAATAAAACAAAATAAAAACAAATGCCCCTTGAAGTGGTAATTCCCAATTGGTCAGTTGGAGGGAACTGAGCAGCACTAATTACAGCACTGAATATGGCTGCCATGCATATAAAACATGCTGCAAAAGGCAGGAAAACATAACTCATTAGTGATTTGGACAGTTTGTATCTCATTAAAGCAGAGGTACACATAGTTCTATTAAAGCACAATTTGTGACCATTGTCGTTAGTGTTTGAATGTATAAAACAGAGAGGAATTATTATGCACCAATGTTGCTAAAAGTAATTTGCACAGCAAAAAAGTCCAAACTGTTTTTCTTCTTTTTCCAAACCCAGCACTGTTTCCAAATCTGAGCTCAAACATCTGTATGAAATGAATCTATCCCTTTCAACCAGAGGTTAGCCTAGATTCAGCCGACATCAGTAACCGACGTCAGTCGTTGTAGTCAATTGTCGATCTGCTGTAATCTCTGAAAGAGTATGAACCTGGAAAAACGAATATTAGGCCTCTTTGAGTCACAGTAGAACAGGCTGATTAATACAGCATACAGGGTTAAATCAACATAAAACAATGACAGGAAACATGGCAGCGATGTGCGGTGTTTTCAGTCGAACTTGGTTTTGTTTAAAATTTGATCTAAAATGGACGCTTCCTCTGATGAACGGTTAGCATTTCTTCACATATCTAAAAACCTAAGAGGATTTGGCATATGTATGGGAAGGAACAACAACTTTCCAAATTCTCATTTTAAAAACTCTAAAGTATCCCCCTAAAACTAAAAAAACAACTAAAAAGACATTTTAATCAGCATGGTGCATATTGACTGTGAATACTGAGCAATAACTGAGTTTCAGAAATTCTGGATAATTGGTTTGGATTTCTTATCTTAAATATCTGTTTTTAACATACATAAAATATATAATCTCTATCTTTTTCTATCCTTACCTGAAAGTGGAATGAATATAAAGAGTTTTTCCTTTTTTTTTTCTATCCTTTAGGTATAATTTCATTCACTGTATAGGCTAACATAAATGTAAGCAAATAATTGCACCGTATCATTCATCCATCCATCCATCCTGACCTAACAGCAATGTTTTTGGACTGTGGGAGTACCCGGAGGGAACCCACGCATGCTCAGGCAGAACATGAAAACTCCAGGCAGAAAGACCCCAAGCTGGGAATCAAACCCAGAACCTTCTTGCTGCAAGGCAGCAGTGCTACCCCCTCCACCACTGAGCCCGGTGTAATTTACTTGTGAATAATATCGGCACTAAGTTTGCTTTGGACCTTATGTCCTGCAACAATATAAACAAGCTTTCACCATAGCAGTGCAGTGTTGGTTTTAGTCTAAGCATAGTTCTATTTATAAGGAAGCTGATCCTGAAAAATTAATCCAACATTAGCTCACAAAAACGCATTAGAGGTGTACATGAAAAGGAAAGTTGAAAAACTTGGGTGAGGATTGAAAAAAGATCCACAGCCTGATCCTTTTTAAAAAAAATCAACTTTCCCTCTAAGCTTTGTCCTATCTCTGAATTATCTCTGATCCGCTCTCTCCTCTCGTGTCCAAGGAGGAGGGTCGGGGCCAGGGCTTCACGGAGGGCTCCTACCAGGGCCGGCAGCTCTTCCGTTGTGAGGAAGAGTGTGGCGTGTTTGTTGCCTTGGATAAGCTGGAACTCTGGGAGGACGATGATAATGAAAGTTTGGGCCAGCTAGAGGTGAATCAGATCAGACTGGAGGACGACCAGGACTATCCTCCGCTGGAGATCAACTCCAGGGTGGTGCTGAGAGAGGAGCCGGAGAGAGGAACCGTCATCTTTTGTGACCTGCTACCAGGGAATGAGAGCCATGGTTACTATGTGGGAGTGGACATGGTAAGTATGGCTCCAGTTCAATTAGATGCTGTACCTGCTGTTTTTGAAACCAGACAGGGGTGGGTTCAAACATAAAAATTGGATGTTTTTAAATGCATTGGGCCATGATAGTTTCTGTAATTCCCAAATAGCTTGCAAAGAGAAGTTAGATGTCTAGCATTTGTGATTGTAAATAAAGCCCAAATCACCAGTTGGTTTGATGCATTTGTTCTGAAATGAAGGTTTTCTTTTTGACCTAAAGAGGTTGAAGTTTTAACTCCATTCTTATGAATCATAAAAATGGGAAATACTATTTGTTGGATCTAAGGTAAAGTTTTTTACTGATTGTCATGTTGAAACTCGTCACATGCTCAAAGGAAGACGTAAAAATGGTTCAGTTTTATAGAAGAAATTACACCCGCTAATAAGGGTAGGTAATCAGTTCATTGATTTACCCAGCCCTGGCTGCTCCCTGGCCGCTTTAACACCTTGACAAGACGTTCTTCGTTTTTTTTTTTGTTTTGTTTTTTGTGGGCTAACAATATAGCCTGTATCCCTGCTTGTTGTGTATATCTTTCTCTTATCTCAAAGAGAAAATGGCAAAAAAGAGAAATATATTTTTGCAACAATTGAAGAGCTTGCAGAAAGCATTCATCACTCTGTTCTTTTTCCTCATTTAGTTATGTTATAAACTTTCAACTTAAACTATTAAACATAATATACAATACGTTTATTTCCTCAAAATTTTACACACAAAACCTTTTATGAATATTTGGAAATGTAATTTTTTTTTTTAGATTTTTTCCACTATTCCATCTATTACAAGTAAAAAAAAAAAAAAAAAAAAAACTTTTACACCCCTTGCTTAACGATTTCGGGCTTTAAGTGTTTTTAAATATGATGCCAGCGCTACTGTCTTCTGGCAGTTTCCCTTAGTGATGCACCTAAGCTCCTTAAGGTTGAAAAGGACCCATCAGTGTGCGGCCATTTTCAGATCTCTCCAGATGTTTAACCAAGATCCCAGTCTGGGCTTTGACATTCACAAAGTGCTTCTTAAGTCAATCCTTTAGGATCTTGGCTGTATGCTTTGGGTTTTTAAAACTAAGGTTTTTGTGGAACAGGTTTTCATCCAGGACATCTCTTTATATTGTAGCATTCCCTTCCCTATAAACTGACCAACCTGTCAGTTCCTGTTGCTAAAAAAAAAATAATTCCCATTGCTTGATGCTACTGCCGTATGGAGGATAAAAAGTGCTACATTTTATAAATAAATACAGCATTAAATAAGCAATTAAATGTGTCAGTAATTAATTAAATGTGGAATAAAATAAATAAATGTGTCATTCATTAATTAAAACCACGTCACTAATATAAAGTGCCACAATTAAATATATAAATACAGTGATCAACAATTAATTAAATGTGTAATTCATTAAATAAATAAGGAATTAAATATATAAATGTGTCATTAATTTAATAAAATATGTCTTCATTTTATTTGAAAAAATTTTATAATTATTTCAGTGTGCATTTAATTATTTCATGGTCCTGTGTCGCAGTGCATCGAAACCATTAAAAGAATCTGTCAAACTCACCCATCAAAGTTAGGGGGCGGGGTTAACGCGAATCGAGTCTCTGTAATCGATTTGTTTCGCCTTAATGTGCAGGGTGACCAATCAGGTGTTTGATAGGTGAGTTTGACAGATTCTTTTAATGGTTGTGGTTTCTAGATACATTGTAGTGAAAATCTGAAAATTACCTCTATTGAAAAAAAAACGTGTGTGTATATATATATATATATATATGAAATAACAATGATAAATGTTATGGATCCCACTACTGTAGCTGAAATATTTGAGGATTTAATATTGATTTTAAAAGCAGGTGGAATAGTTTTTGCTCCTGAAAAAGTAAGATTTTTATATAACTGTTGTTTAAAAAATACCAAATAGTGTTCTAATTTTTTTTGTTACACCTAAGAAAGTTATGTTTATATGTATTCTTTCCAGATAACTAAAACCGTGTTAATGTTCTTACTTTAGTTTTGATCTGTGTGCTCTTATCCCGTCATTTCATGTAATAATATAAAGAAAAAAATCTTATGGTTTTGGGAAGGGGTCAATGCTGAATTATTAAACTAGATGAAGTCATTTAGTCTTAAGTTTTGACTATAAAGGACTTTTCTTTTTAGTTGGACGCTACGGCTTGTTGCATTGTCCTCATGTTAAAATTGAAACATATAAACGAGGCATTTGACTACAGATTGTTAGCAGCCACATCAGCTGCTGCAGCAGCCCACTCAGTGCATCTGAGCCTCCCACACAAAGGCAAGGCAGTCACGCGGGGAGTGAGGTAAAGACTTGAAGCTGTATGACCCAACAGCATGGCAAAAGGCCAGCTGGGAGCTGAGGAGAGCCCACTGCTCTGCCTCACTGTGCGATCAGCCTCGCCCTGCCTTCTCTCGCCAGTTGCTCTGGATTTAACCTTATTCCAGATAGTCCCCTGGAACAGAATCCTACATTTGAACCTGAGGAGGAGGAATAGCAAGGCTCTGCTCGGAGCTTTCATAAGGAATGACCTGCGTTGGAAGATCTGCTGTTTAAGTGGTCGAGAGGAGCCAAGTAGTTTGAAGAATGATAATGGAGAGGACCAAGCTAAAGCGTCTCTTTTAGGTTGTGATAGATGATTCATTATCAGAAACGAGGGAAATTAAAGCTTGTGCTGCCAACGAGGGCATGAGGGCTGCATTGATGAGGAATATTTGAAAGTATTTCAACGTGTTTATGTCTCCAACTTTTTTAGGACAATCCTATAGGGAACTGGGATGGTATGATTGAAGGGAAGCTGGTGTGTAATTTTGCCAGTTTGGAGCACACTCGACTCGTCCACATCAGTGACGTAATGCCAGGTAAGTCACCTCATCTCTATCAGTGTGTGTACTCAGTTTCTGCAGTGCTGGAACTTTTAGTCTCTGGAAAGGTTGAGCTGTCCCTCCATCGGACCAGCACTGAGCTCCCACTGAGCAGTCAGAGTTTGTGTTCGGCGTTCGTGTTTCAGCGGGAACAGAGAGCCTTTTGTGGCGATGGCTCTCTTGTGTTTGAAAGTCCAGTGAGATACTCTGGGTCTTTGTTCTCTACAATGGCGTGTTGGTTTGTGCCTATGCATGTTTCTGCCAAACATAGAACTTTATATACTGATATATACATTCTCCTTTTTTAATTATTTATTTTTTTTTTTTCCAAATTACTGACATTCCCACTCTGTCAGGCTGTTAAAGAAGAAATATAATCAAATAGAGAATTGGAATTTTTCCCCAAACTAATTCTTAGTTAAATGTGGAGACGGAGAATTATAATGTAGGTTCTGAAGCTTTCTCTGTCGATATTTCACGTGACAAAAATGAAAAGTTCTGGTTTCACTTACATTGCGGTTATGTCTGTCTTTCTGTGCAGAATATCCCATGCAGAACCAAAGGCTGCCAATGCACAGTTTTGCCCCCAGAGGCAGTGACAAATCCTCCTCTGGCCAAAGCAAACCAAAGAGCAAAGGTACTACACCAACATTATGATACTGAGCTACCTAACATTTTTACAGCTAAACTTGAGAAGCTAATACTGAAAAAGACAACTTGGCTTTTTAGTTGTAGAAGTGAGAATCTTTCTGCTTGTGTTAACTAATGGAGAACTTTTAGGAATGTCCTAACCGTTCTATACCAGTCTTAAGAATGGCTTTGTATTTTTTAATCTTGACTTTCCTTTGCTGTAAAGGTTTATAGTGGTTTTATAAATCTTCTTTGTTGGATTTTTTTCCTTTAATTTCAGAGTAGCAGCTGTGCACCTGCACATTAAACTCCTCTCTTGTTTTTCCCCCTCATGTACTTGCATTACTTGCAGGATTAGCTCATCAGTGTGGCAGTAGGAGCAAGTCTGAGTTTTACTATACTTTAAATGGCAGCTCTCTTGACCCCCCAGCTCAGCCCAAATCCAAAAGCACATGGTACATTGATGAAGGTAAAACTCTTGGGATGTTGGTCGTCTTGTTGGCAAGCTCCTGCTGAGGCCTGATAGGTTTCGCCGAGGCCTGCTTAATATTTTCTGCTTCTGAGCTTTTTTGTTTTTAATGACCCGAAGCGTTAAAACATAAAATTAATCATTTATTTAAACCCATAAGTAAGTCAGACTAATTGCATCACTCACAGCATTTCTCCTTTTTACAAATTGAATAGCATCTAAATGAAGTAATTTTGTTCAAGCTTTCTTTATTATGTTTAAAATAGAAATAGAGATGTCCTTCATTGGGAAAATATAGGTGTACCAGAAGGATAGTGACAGGGAGCAGATGAACGCATGAGTAAATAAATATGAAACAAAAATAGAAATGAGACTGTAAAGATGAAAAAAAGACAAATTGTGAATTTGTATTTATCTCTGCAGAAAAGCAGACTTATAAAATAGGAAAAACTGCACAAAACGACTACCCTATCACACAAACTTATTTGTAAAGCTCTCTTAAAACAAAATAACTGCTGTACAAAAATGTATGTATAGTAGAAAAAGTATAAAATTATATATTAACACAAATAGGTCTGCAATTAATGTTTATTTTGCTTATCAATTAATCAGTCAATTATTTTTTAGATTAATCAATTAATAATCGGATAGCCAAAGGTTCCTTAAAGAAGATTTTTTACTAAATTAAACCAGGTGAAACTGAAACTTTTCCACTTGAGGATTTCTGGATAGCGCATATTGGCAGACAAAAATGTTTTTATTTTTAAGAAAATCTTAAATACAAAATGTTTTCCGTATAATTACTGCTCTACGTGAGTTGTAATCTAAAGACACATTTTTCTGTCTCAACTCTCCAGTTAAGGATTAATCGATTACTATGTTACTTCACAATTATTTTAATAATCGATTAATCATGATTGTTTCAGCCCTGAACACATATGTGATAAGTTATACAAGGAAAATATATTACACAAAGATTAAAGCATAGATGCTGAATCATTCTGGGTTAAATGGGGAAAAAGTGTGTTTTCAAAAAAGATTTCAAAACCATCAACAGACGGAGCCTACCTGACCTCCAACTGCAGCTCATTCTACAGTTTAGGAACCAATGCTCTTTCTGGATTTAAAAAAGGACAAAGGCCTCGATTCTGCAAATCTATGAGCAGTAAAATCAACCCAGACACATTGGAAAGGGGCAGAGCATTTTAAATACTTTTAAAATTAATTAAAAACTTGAAGGGACCCTGTGAAGAGATGCTAAATCTGGAGTTTTGTGCTCTGGTTTATGTGCATTCTTTAACAGCTATAGATGTGAGAGAGATGCTTGGCTAACTCCTTTCGAAAGTTGCATTAGTCCCGGCATGAGGAAATAAAAGCATTAACCACTCTCTCTAGATGGTCTTTAGACAGCAGGGGCTTTTTTAAAGAAATTAAAACTAAGAGAATTCAGTGGTATCCACTCTCTGATGTCATTAGGGCAGCGAAGTAAAGGCTACAAAGAACCATCATGTTTTAGAGTGAAAATAAACTTTGCATATAAGTAAAAGGGCACACAGTGCTTCCTAATAATAGTACAAAGTGCTGGTAGTGGCATGGAAATAATTATTGAGGTTGTTTAACAGCCATGACAGTTATAAGGTCAAATAGTGGCTGGGAGGAAGGATCTGTGATGACCCTCCTTTGTGCATATAGGATGCTGCAGTCTCTTTCTGAACTATTTCAATTGCTCTTAAACAAATTAAATAATTTAAATGACGCAGTCTCTTGCAAATACATTCATAGCTTCTGCATTTTTAGATGTTTTATTTTATAAACCAACTTAGTGTAGTCTATAATAGCAACAAGTCTTTTACATCTTTAAAGAAAATAGAATACTTTTTAGTTAAAGGATTTTCCTGAGAAAATGTGTTTTGCATTTACTGCAACAGACACCCGTTATTTTTCACTAGAAGGGCTCATTTGTTTAATAGCAGGAGCACCAAATGCTAACCAAACAAACTTGAAGCTAATTTGTGTAAATAACCGTTGGCCGGGATGAAACCTGGTTAGTAGGTTGATGCAGGAGCTTGCTTTTAAGACTTTTCCACTCGTCTTGTCCTTCATCACCATTTTATTCCTACCTTGTTTCAGTATGGAGTAACTGGTGTTGCTAAAGACTTTTAATTATGCTTGGGACTGCAAAGGACTCCTTTACATGCCTTAACTTTTATTTTGCTGCAGTTGCTGACAATGAGTTTAGTGTTTTTGTGATGCCTATTGCATGCCCGAGTATTTGTAAAAGCTTTAGTTACTGCGGTCATTATTGATTGGTTCTGTCAGCATCACATCCCACCTTTCAAGTTTTGGTTTTCATGTTTTGTTTTAATTTATTTTTTGTTAATATTTTTAGTGGATCTGAAACACAATTTTTTTTTATATATTGTGGTGTGTGGGACGTATCCACTCCATGTCATTACCTTTGTCTTCTACTGTTTAATTAGCTTTTGCTCCTAGTTAGATTTGTTTGTCAAATAATAAAATTAATTCTTCTTGAAAGTTGGAAATCAAAACTATAAGTGTGCTAAAATAGGAGATTCTAAAAGTAGTCTTCCCATTTTGCTTGGCAATGTTAAAAATGCAGGGTGTTCTGCCGATCTGTGTTGTAATTTCAGAAATTAAAGGTTCGTTCGTAAACAGTGAAATGAGTTTCTTCCAAATGCTCACTAATCTAATCCTGTAAATATGTGATTGTTTATATCCTACCAGGGAAGTACTGTCCGATTGTTTGGATGCTTGTAATTTTTTTTTTCCAATGAATTAAGATGAAGGCACAACAGATGTCCATCTTTTTTCTGATTCACTAAAGGAATATTTATCCTTTGTCCAAGAAAAGGCTAAACTCATAGACATAAGTTTGTCATTATATTACTCCTCCATATAAAGACCACAGAAAGAAAACCTTAAAAAAAAAAAAGTTCTGTTAGAGGTTTTAGACACAGTGTCTTCGGAATATATATATATATATATATATATATTTTTTTTTTTCGTCACAAGCACAAACATGAATGTTTTATTGGGATTCTATGTAAAACTGCAGCCCAAACTTGTGGAAAACTAGAGACCTAGAGAGTTACTGAAAAAGAACCACAACAATTTCAAATGTGACATTTAAATAATGCAATTTGAAAAGCATTTTCGAATTGCACATTTTAAATTGAATTTTAAAGAGGAATTGTAACTTTGCAGCTATTATTTCGTCATTAAATACTGGAATTTAAAAATGAATTTTGGAATCCTTTTTCTAAATGAAGATTTAAAAACCAAAATTCCTAAATCTGATAAAGAATACCTTTCCTAATTACATATTTCATAAATAATAAACATGTCATTTTCTGTATTCAAATCCTTTTTGAAATTACATTTTCTTTTTATCTTTTCTGCCAACTCTCTGGTCCCTGGGCACACTGCAATCCTGTAAAGTCAATCACAGTTGCTCCACAGATATAACCGATCTAACCAATGAGAGAGCTGGTTACATATGAGGAAAAACTGTGATTGGTTTAACTACTTTTCAAAGGTCTCAGGGACCAGAAACGTCACGTAAGTGATTGGAGCGGATAAAAAAAAAAAAAGAACATACAATTTAAAAAATTTAATAAAGAAAAAAAAATGGAAATGGATTAAGAAATGATATTATTAAATGTGTGATGAGGAAATGTATTTATAGTCAGGTTTATCAATTGTGTTTTTAAATCCTAATTTAGAAATGGGATTTAAAAATAAATTTACAAATTCCAGAATTTGATAATGATTAATAATACTATTTACAATTCCTCTTTAACAATACAAAATTTTGACAACAAATGCGTTGCAAATTGGATTTCAAATTGCATGATTTCAAATGGTTTAATATATATTTTAAAGCGTAAAAAAACGTTTGAATCTTTTTTTCTCTTAGACTTTAGTCATTGCTCACATTAATATTAGCGCTGCAAAAAAAACACAGTATGTTAAAAAAAAAATAGGGCTGTATTAAAAACAACGATAATCATATTATGTGCAAGTAAGCATGTTTTTTTAGTACATAAATTAAAAAGGGAATATGAGATGACCATTTTTATCACGCCAATTAACAATTATGTGTTATTTGTTGGTGTATCGCACAAAATCCCAATGAAATATATCAAGTTTATGTTTGTAAAGAGTTAAATTGGATTTACTTTTTAAGTCACTTTATGATAATGTGCTGTTTTCATTGAAAACCTTGACAGTTTTATTTATTTATTTATATATATATATTTTAAAAATTGTCAAGGTTTTCAATAATGCATTTTATTTATTAGGCATTATTATTATTATTAAGCAATAACAGGCAAACTCAGTAGGAAAAAAAAAAAACATGAGCACCCTTTCTTCTTGGCTAGAAAGGTTGCTAGGCGACAATCCAATTCCAGTGTGAGAAAAAGCAAAAAAAATAAAAAATCCACAAGCAGAGCCAACAGGTTTGTGAGCGTATCTCAGACCAAAGCAGACACTGGTTTGTGTGCGAAAGCAAAGGAAAAGGAAGTAAACAAGAGGAGAAAATATTTGTGCAAGAAGCATTATGTAGATCTGAGAGCAGAAACAAAGATTTGATGGAGATGAGAATATGTATGATAGAAAGCAGAAGTTTTGAATAGTTGCATAACAAGTTTGAGTGCAAATAAAGGAAATTCTGCTCTCTAATTGAAAATGTGTGCTCTTGATTTTTGGCAGGAAAAATCCTCTATAAGGAAGTCGATAATAACAATCTGTCAGCAGTAATTACCGAGAGAAAGAGTCATTAAATTATTAAATATCTTAAAATTGTGTCAATTTATATTTATTTGAAAGTTTATATTAGACAATCTGACATTAATTTAGGCTTTCATCTTCTTTGAGATAAATTGACCTTAATTAAAAAATTACAAATCATGACCCAAGGTCAAATTAAAATAACTGAGCGACCTCTTATTAGATATAATGATTTTTTTTTCTTATAGGTGTTTAGCCAGATTTCCTTACAACAGTCTTGTTAACTTATGTGTTAAGGTGTGTTTAAATGTTGTGGAGATGGCTTCTGGTGATGTATGTCCAATTTAATTTTTATTTTTTAAACCATCCTGTTCTCAAAAATGTCTTTTCCATTTGGACCATACAAAATCTCTAAAGACAACCTTCACATTATGACTAAATGTTGCATCTTGCTTTCTAGTAGGAGAAGACCCCGCCAAGTCACTCACCGACACCCCACCTGAATTCAACCAGTCTCCTCCACCATCCAGAGCCCCACCCGCAACTTCACTGTCAAGTGACAACAAGTTCCACTCGCTGCCCTTTAGCCTGAACCGTAAGACCCCTGAGAATATAAGCCAAGGGCCCATCTCACTTTCTGTTGGGTCTGTAATGGGAGAGCAGCTCGAGCCTCCATCGCCTGCTAACCCTCCGTCTCCTCGGCCTCCGACGCCTCCCCGAGGGCAGTCAGGTCTTGAGGTGGGCTCACTGGTGGAGGTGAAGGAGAACCCCCCTCTATGTGGTGTTATCCGCTGGGTGGGCCTGCCTCCTGGCCTGCTGGAGCCTTTGGCTGGACTGGAGCTGGTGAGTTATATGTTATGATCAGAGCATTATATATCAAATCATTGGACTCCTTTTTGGCATCCAAAATCTAAAGCTCAAAATATGACAACTAGTATGAAGTAAAAAGAGCTTCTCCCCCAACTTTCCCCCAACCCAATTAACCATCTGTAAAAATGTAGAGGGACAGACTGGTTTCTTAGGGGTTTTTGTCTCTGTATTTTTCATCTAGCTGAGCTTGGTGAGTTCCTACTTTCTTGTTTGTTTGGCTCCTCTATAGTGATGAGGGGAAGTCACAGTACCTAGCTAAAAAACTAAACAAGTACATTTCCCAAAGAGTTTCACCTGTTCAGTTGTTACAGTAGCATTGTTCCTCTCAGCATTTTGGAGCAAATGTGAACACGTCAAGAAAGTGTTGTGTAGTTGAGACTTATTCAACGTTCCCCCAACTGGCTGTGGTTTTAGAACAACAAATTAAAGTGCGGATCGAGCTTAGATCATGGTCAAACAGACAACTGCACATATTTGGAATAAATTCGCCACAAATTCCATAAAAAATATAACTATGTATTAAGAAAAATAATTTAGCCCAAAGTCACATATTTCAGTTAAAAACTCCTGACTGATCTAGTGAAACTCAACTAAACAAAGCCACTATATTCACACAAAAAATAATAAAATGGGTGAAAACCATTATCAATAAAATGAAGCAACAATATTACAGTTCATAATGCATTTTATGTTTGAGAATCATGTTTATCTTAAAGAATTGGTAATGAGGTCACACTGGGTTTTTCTGATTTAGAGCGATTTGGATATGTTCAAACCAATTAACAATTCAATAACAAGAGCTAAATACATTATTTGATAAAATAAAGTTTCATTAAATGATCTGCATTCAGATATCAATAACCTTTATTTAATTGATGCTTAAGCTTATGTGATTAAGCTAGTAGCTAGAAGATATAAGGGCACTCCTCTCAAATGACTCGTTAGTCATGTTTTGGTAAACACATGTGATAAGCATATGAGGAAACACATGAAATAAAGCTTGTTTTAGCTTTATAAAAAACTGCTCAAAACTTGTTAGTGTGGTGTACCATGCAGCTAAATGTGTTAGCTTGTTGTCTTACACAACAGTAAACACGTGAAATACTTAAAAATCATCAAAACCCTCAAAACTTTACCAGACCTCTAAACTTTGCTGATTTGCAGTGTCCAAAATTAATGTCATGGTTTATGGCCCAACAATAGTGCTGATCTGGTGCAAATTGCTAAAGATTTTTCTAGAAAAAACGTGTTTTTTTACAGTTGATTTTAGCAGTTGCTCCACTAGTAACATTTACGGATGTGACGCTTTTCTCTCAGGAAGAAGAGTGCCCTGGATGCACTGATGGCACCTTCAAAGGGACTCGCTACTTCACCTGCCCACCCAAAAAAGCTCTGTTTGTGAAGCTCAAATGTTGTCGGCCTGACTCCCGCTTCCCCTCCCTGCACCATTCCTCCAACCCCATAGAGCGGTGCAACTCTATTGGTAAATCAAGAGTTTTAGCAATATCAAAACTCTACTCTTCCAGTTTCTTTAAGGTTATTGCTTTCAATTCTTGCAGCATTTGGAGGTTATCTGAGTGAGGTAGTGCATGAGAACACTCCACCTCGGACAGAGAACGATGGTCTGGATGTTATGGTGGGGAAAAAGAAAGGCATTCAAGGCCACTACAACTCCTGCTACCTGGATTCAACTCTATTCTGGTCAGTGCCGCTTCACTTTTCCAGTAACTTAATTTAATGACCGTATTTGTTAAACATGAGGACACAGATGCTTCTTTCTAATATAGTTATTATTTTCTGCTCCTCAGTCTTTTCTCCTTCAGCTCTGTACTGGACACGGTTCTGCTGAGGCCACGTTCAAAAACTGACGTGGAATATTACAGAGAGACTCAGGAGCTGCTACGCACAGAGATAGTCAATCCACTGCGCATGTATGTGACAGTAGCTGCCCTTCATAACTTTTAAACAACCTTCTGTTTTTAGCTTGCTTTTATGTTATAGTGCTGTCAAGCCTTTAAATGTTGTGCTTTGCAAAAGATATCATACTTCTTTCGTATAATATGCTGGAATCAAATCAGTGTTTTTCAGCATTGAATGTGTGGGATCTCTCCCACCTCCAAAAACATAGATGCTCCAAATTGTACTAAGGTTAGCTCTAGCTACTTCTGAGTTTCTGTTGTAGTAAAGATTCCCAGCTGTTGTGGGAATTATCTGTTTGTGAAAACAAGAGACTGGGACAGAGGTTTACGTTCCAGCAAACCAGTGAGGCAACCAATGCAATACACGATAGAATGATCTCACTGGATTCATGGTTTGGATGAATCTGCTCCGAGTCCAGAAGTCCAAATGGAATGACAAATAGAAATCAGAAAATATCCTCACAACCAGCTTGGTTAAGCTTCAACTACTTTGCAAATAGTTAATTTCAATCAGAATGAGATGGTAAAAATAAACCAATACAAAAGCCAGCCGATATTCTTGACCAACATTAGCTTTACCTGAAGTGCTTGCATTGCCTCTCCCCTTCATTTACTAAAAATTGTAAATGTTTTCTTTGATTTGTTAATAGGATTTTTTTTGTTTAAATTTATACCTTAATGTTTATTGTCATTATGTAATTTGTATCATGCAAATGTAAGAAGAATAAGCAAAACTGGCTCCAAGGATGAGCCCAAACATATCGTAAGCACATGTTGGGATCTGTTAGGCTACTGTCAAAGTAATCGGTATTAGCATTGGCCTTTAAAAAACTTGTATCGATCGGTCTCTACAAGATAGCTATACGAACATCGACCAAACAATGCTGTATACAGGCACACGTACTTTATATATGTAATTTAAAACGATTTAATCCATTTCCACTTTAAAATGATAAACCACTTAATTTTTGTCATATAAAATCTAAATGAAACACATTCAACTTAGGGGTTTTTAGAGCAGCAAAAAATAATTTCTAGGGGCATTAATACTTTTGCAAGGCATTGTCCAGGTTAAAGGGTTGTTTATTTTATATTTTTACTCTACTCTTATACCCAAAATGCACATCCCAGAAGTCTTCCTGTAGCACTGTCCTCCTTGTTTTACAGACATGGGTACGTTTGTGCCACGAAAGTGATGAAGCTCAGGAGGATCCTCGAGAAAGTAGAAGCTGCCTCAGGATTTACGTCTGAAGAAAAAGGTTCAGTTAAATTGAAAGATAATGTCCTGAATCCAAAATCCTTTATAATTGTGAACTTGTTCCTATATATTTGCCATTTTTATCTCAGACGGAAATTGTGTTGAATACTTAACTCTCAAAGCAAACACATTATCTGTGAGCAGTAGATGGCAGCATTGGCACATAAGTATCACATCCAACCTCAGTGAGTTGCTTTATTCTCTGCAGATCCTGAGGAGTTCCTTAATATCCTGTTTCATCACATATTAAGAGTGGATCCACTCCTGAAGCTAAGGTAAGGAGCTAACACTGACAAGAAAGCAAAAAGTTCCTCGAAGTTGCTTCTAAAAAAAATAGGTGAAGGTGAGTAAGAAAGACAAATAAGCATTTTCAAGTTGGAATTGTATGAATTTATAAAACTAAGTTAAAATACACAAGTTTAGCTGATTCCACATAATTCAATAGTTTTTTGTTTTGTTTCTTATTCAGCAATATGCAGATTCCAGAGTCCATCCCAAAGTTTTGCTTATGCCGCTGCTTTAAGGCTTTGGACCTGATCTAACGACAGATCTGAGGTTTTATTTAGAATATTTATGACTGTGTTCTAAGTACGTTTTTTGCAGTTCACAGCAGCTGAATTACCAGTTTCGACAGCTGCTATTCTCTTCTGCTTTTTTGACACATTAAACCACATCAGCGGGTGTTATCTGCATGCATGAGAACACTCATGTATACAAAAACATGAGAAAAGGTCTCATCAGGATCAGACCTTTTTTAGACATCTGATTTATACAGTGAAATTATGTGTTTGAATTGTTTTTTTTTTCCTAGAAATCTAGAAAATCCATAATAAAAAAACAACTTCGGCAGAAATTCACCTGCAAATTTTTTTTTCACTGTTAAGAAACCCATTTCTACCTAAAGCCACAGTGTGTCACATGATCTATTGAGCATATTTGATTGGCTAAAAGGCACTGGACTCGCTGTAATGCTGGTGGCTTGAATGATCATATAACATTAACACATTTGCAGACAAATTTCTCTATAGCCACATTTTAAAAGTTAAACTACTGCAGGTACATTCTTGTTTTATATTTGGTTAAAATATACCTTTGAATTTTTAAAGGGGAAATTGCTCCTGGTGAATTTAAAGTAAAACAAAAAATCTATTATAAATTCAGTGTTTTAAAAAATCAATTTCCTCCATGAATTTAAAACCTACTTCTCTATGGAAACTGTTACCATTGTTATACCTGAAGGTGCTGGTAACTTAAAATCCTGTTCCTACATAGATTTTATTAATGTGTCTTTGTCTGAGGTGTCGTCCTTTAGATATTCAGCTTTTACTTTATTTTTCTTTGAGGCCTTTTTTAATAGTGCTAAAAGGTTGAGCGGTCCAATATTTTTTTCTGCCTCAACAGCTGCTCTCCTATTTTATGTTCTCATTAGCTCGCATGGATCAGGAAGAGCTTGCTTAAATTATGCAGGATACAGTAAAAAGATTAAACCCTTTTAGCAACCATTCAGCCAACTATGATTTTGTTTTGTTAAACTGCTGGAAAAATGTTTTTTTTTGTGTGTATTGTTTTAAATATGCTTATCCTTAAACAAGGGTGGATATATGTTCTCCAGTAGCATCTTAATAGGCTGAATACCACTGAGATAAAATTAATTTACAGCTGATATTAATTATATTCATCACCCAAAGAGTTCTTTATTTCAGAATTTCACTCATTCATTCATGAGAAACTGGTCCTTTAACACCAAACACACAGACATTGACATCCTCGGGTAGATACTGAGCCTCTAACACTGGCTGTTCAGTAACTCAGCATATTAATGAAACATCTAGTGGAAGGAAGAGATTTATACGCACCAGAGCCGACCAACAGTTAAGGACTTTGAGCTACGTAAATGTTAAAAATGTTTTTAATACAGAAATATCAGCCTACTATCAAATATATTGTCCAGCGATTACACAACTACTAAGTGGTAAATAGCATGTAGTTATAAAGAGCTTTTTCAAGTTAGAGGATTTGACCAAAGAGTTTTACAGTCATTCATCCATTCACTCACACAATGATGGCGGTGAGCTACATTGTAGCCACAGCTGCCCTGGAGCTCACTGACAGAAGCCAGGCTGCTGCACACTGGCGCCACCAGCACCTCCAACCACCATCAGTACTTGGTCAGATCTCCATTTGTGACATATGCTGTGATTTTTGTACTATTTTGGTATGAGCCATAAAACAGATATTTCTCTACGGCAATTGTTTTTTTTTTTTTTTAAATATAATTAAATAAATAAATTAACCCCTCAAATATAATGAATCTATTGAGATTCATCTGTAATTCTGCAGCCTTTGCCAATAAAGCAAATATTTTTCATCTCCGAGATAAAGCATTGAGTAAAATCCTAACTTCCCATGACATTTTGTTTTGTCTTTCAGGTCTGCAGGTCAGAAAGTCCAGGACTGTTACTTTTACCAAATCTTTATGGACAAGAAGGACAAGGTCGGAGTTCCAACCATCCAGCAGCTTCTGGAGTGGTCCTTCATAAACAGTGACTTAAAATTTGCAGAGGTAAGTAGTATTTTCATTTATTTCACTTTATTTTTAGGGATGTTTACATTTCCATGCGATATAGCCCAGATCTGCACTGTGTCGAATCTTCTTTGTTAAACAGGATTTAGAATCTAAATGAAGCTTTCTTTATAATCTTCATAAATGTTCCTTTTCTTGCTCCCCAAGGCTCCGTCTTGCCTTATCATCCAGATGCCACGCTTCGGCAAGGACTTCAAAATGTTCAACAAGATTTTTCCCTCCTTGGAGTTAGACATCACAGACCTTCTTGAAGACAGTAAGTTGTGTGTTTTTTTTTGTCCCAGTCTGTAGAGTTGATTTGCAGCTGTGTGGCATTTGGTAATGAAACTCCTCTGGCCTGTCACTGGAGCTCAGCTGAAATGAAAGAAACCTTTCCTTGCTCTTCAATCAGTTTTTCAAAGAAGCCTGTTGTATCATTTGTTCAGCTCCGAGGGAATGTCGCATCTGTGGAGGCCTGGCTCTCTACGAATGCAGAGACTGTTATGAGGACGGGGATATCACTGCTGGCAAGATTAAGCAGTTCTGTGAAAAGTGCAATACACAGGTAAACATCGGAGAGCGGTGCTGCAACATCAATGTCACAATTGTCCAGTTGGTGGCGCCAGTTCCAAAGAAATCATTATTTTGGAGTATTGTAGCAGAGGACATGTTTCCAAATTAGATTAAAGTTGCATTTAGTTTTTATGATTTTCCAGTAGAGCATTTTAATGAATGCCTTGCTTGGATTTTTATAAAAAAAAAAAAAAAAAAAAAAAAAAAACTAAAAAACATAAGATATCTTGTATTTTTCTTAAAAAATAAACCCAGAAGAATATGACAGTGCCTCTGCTCATTCTCATTTAGGTTCACCTCCACCCGAGAAGAAAAGCCCATCGACACAACAAACTATCCGTCCCCAAGGAGCTGCAGGAAGGCACGGGGCGTCAGGGCGGTTTCCCCCGCCAGCGGATGGAGCTGTTTGCTGTGCTGTGCATCGAAACCAGTCACTACGTGGCCTTCGTCAAGTACGGCAGCGCCGATTCTGCCTGGCTTTTCTTCGACAGCATGGCGGACCGTGATGGTGGGTGTGACCGCCACACAATGTTTTGTTTCTAGTCAGAGTTCTTTCTGGATCGAGAATCTAACGACAGGCCTAAAAAGGAGCTATTTATTATTCACAAGCAGGATGTCGCCTGAGAACTAGAGAATGAGGTAGGGTTATAATTTTAGACTAAGAAGTTGAATAAAATAAGATTTAAAAGTAATTATAAAATGAAAAAAATCTGTGTGAAAATTTAAAATGGTCATAAAAGTTAGAAAAAATGGACACAGATCAGATAGAATATTAGATTAATTTTAGGTTTATCCTTTGAAATGGCTCCATCTCTACAGTTGAGCAGATCTATATTTAAAAGTTAATAAAAAAAAAAAGAAAAGAAAAAGTAGCTAATTATTGATGCTGTTTCTTGAAGCCCCTTCTGCAACGTAAACAGGCCTGGCTCACATTCCAACTGAACAACTTTTTACTTCAATTGTCCTCTGAGGTTGATGGGATATTTTGAGGTCCTATTAAGGCCTTAAAATTTACTGTTAATGATCTAAAAAACAACAACAATGTATAGCTGTATTATTAGATGTAGAATTTAGAGGGAAGTGTAAGTGTTCTTCAAGCGCCTTAATTTAACAGTTAAACCTCATGTTGCAGGGGGCCAGAATGGTTTCAACATACCGCAGGTGTCTCCCTGTCCCGAAGTGGAAGCCTATCTGAAAATGACCCCAGAGGAGCTGCACACCTTGGACCCCAAGAGCATCCAGGGCCAGGCGCGACGTCTGCTCTGCGACGCCTATATGTGCATGTATCAGAGCTCGACCATGAGCCTTTACAAGTAGATTCCTCTGTCTAAAGCCTACGCCTTTCATCCTCTGCCACTCCATCTCCACTTCTTCAGCCTGGAGGTTCAGAGAAAGACCTGAACTCATAGCAGAGAAGTTGTCTCCCAGCAGAATGGGGTGCCGGGGCGTGCTGCAGTATCTGGAGCTATCCTCTCCCTCAAAGCCGGCTCATTTCGGGAAGTTAGGGAGATGGACAAGAGAAGAGAGAAGCCTATTTGCACTGTGCATTAGTTTAAAGTATTGTGTTCTTTATGTAGTCCTATGTAGCTTTCATGTGTCTCACAGCTGCACGTCGGCAGTGGTTAATGAAGCCAAAGTAGGTATTATGAGGATCCACTCCCTGTTTAGGGAGGATGGGCGGCAGAGCGTGTTGCGTCGTAGTGGCTGACTAAACATGTGCAGCGAAAACAAATGGAGCCTGTGGGAGGACCTTGCTCACCTCATTTACCTTAAGAAAAGAGGAGTCCTGCTATTCTAAATCACTGTAAAACATGGGAGCATCCATATCACACATTAAGGAAGCAACACGATGTAGAATACCTTTCACCCAGCCTATATGTGCTGTATTGAAACCTTGTGCAAAATCTCTTAGTAGCATAGATTTCTCCGGGTAGTAACAGTATAGTTGTCAACTGGGTGTGCAGTCGCATTATGCCCATGCTCTTCTGCTCTATATGACCTGGCGTCCATTTTTCCATAACCTCTGTAGAAACGTCCTTCACTGTATGATTTGCAGGATAAATGCAGCCTTAGTGAAAGTATCGTGCTTTGCCACAGACGTCGGCACCTTTCCACCATCTCCAAGTGGACCTATCAGGAAACGTTTAAGTTTTTCTTTCTTCCACTCGCCCCCGTTTGAAGTCACACTGAGTGCTAATTTGTTGGCTGGGGGACATCAGAGTTTTGTTACAGAATACAGATTCGCTCCTCTGCTGTAGCTCTAAAGAATGGCCTGCATCGCTAATGCAGAGTAGGTGGCAGATAAATGCATGAAAGGAGGCTTGTACAATGGCTTCTATTGTAACGCTGCTCGGTGGAGCGCTCTGTGCATTCACAGGGTCAATGAGGTGAAAAACTGGAGAAGTCTGGCTGTTTTTTCCTCGAGTCGAGCGTGTGTGGTGTGAAGAAATGCCGCGTCTGGCTCTTTGTGTTAACGAGGAAGTCTGAATTATGTTTTATGTTTACAAAGCCTCTCTTCCCCTCCCCCTGCCTGTCCTGACAGGTCTGATTTCCAGCTGAAGCAAAGTATTGACTCTTACTGCCTTTAATGAAGGTGTGACCTGTGAGATTTCCAGCCTGACCCTAGATAACAGAACAGATCTGATCAAATATAATTTATTTAAACTCTAATTATAACAAAGTCTGAAAAAAAAGAAAGAAACAGGGTTGATGACGTTGGGTACTCTCTGTCCACTTTCACTGTATATTTAAGTGAGTGTTTGTACTTTATGTTGTCTTATAGCAACTACTGATTTTTAACGGGGACTCAATTATCAGTTAACAAGGGATGGGAAAAGAAAAAGGCACAATGGGTGTAACCATGGGACACCATATATCTGTGTATTTAAAGAGGACATTTTATTAAAGAATTAAAACTGACCCACATGGCTTCGATTATGTTCCACTTTTACAGAAAATGAATTTCTAAGGTGGTTAACTGGTTTCACATCCCACAGAATTCAGGAAAAAAAAAAAAAATTTCAAACTGCAGACAGCATTAGACAAATGCAGCTCAAACCAGATGTTTACATATTTGGATTATTTTCAATGCCATGAGCATAAATGTGGCCAAACTTTTCCTGGTTTAGGTCAGTTTGGATTACCAGCTGTATTTCTATGTGCTAAATGCCAAAATAATTATCTTTTTTTTAATTGCTGCTTCTTCCTAGCTGAGTGGAGTTTCAGCCCATTCTGGCAGCAGGATTCATGCTTCAGGTGGTTTTCTCCAAAAAGCCTTTTGTTCTTTGATTGATGCACAGATTTCACCCGAAAACACTTTCTTCTCTGGGACACAGAACTGAGCAGTATGAGGACATTCCCATAGATGGGTACGATTTCCAGATGCCTGAAGTTGACATATTCATCAGTGCAAATTAGGACTAAAACAACTGAAATTATCTCTCATTTAGTAATCATTAACTGGATTATTGAGACAAGAAAAATTGCTATTAGCTGAGATAGCAAAAGATTTTGAGAAGTAATTATCCAAAAAATTGTAAAAAAAAAAAAATATATATTAACATTTTATTTGGAAGATGAAAAACCCCTTTTCTCCATTTATACTGTACAATGTTTTTATAAATTATTATAGCTAAGGACGGCAACCACAAAACAGGCTGAAATCGAAGACAACTGGACTTTTGCTCAAATATTCCGGTTAAGTTTCCACATGATCCAGGAGTCCTTGTCAAGTCGTAAAGCTGTGACTAAAGAAAAGGATGAATTAATCAGGGTCTACAGTTTTCTTCCTCTCTTGGTTGAAGTCATACAATAAATGTTATGTTCGAGGTGTTGCTTTAAGATACTTCATCAGGTGTGCCTTGCAAAGCCATCACATAATCGTCTGAGCTTTTCCAAATAATTTTATTATAGACTTGTAGACATTTTAATGGTTATAAAGTTCATTTTAAACAAAGTCTTCACAAATATCTTATTATTTTGGCTTTTAGCAAATAATAATGATCTGAGTTATCCTGACCTAAAAAAGGAAAAATTAATTTATTTCACTGTTTTGTCTTTTTTTTTTAACTGTATGTAAATATTTGCCTTCAGCTGTAGGTGTTACCTTGATCCATTCATGTCACAGATTTTGGCTGTGAGAATAAAGTCAAAGGGAAGCTTTAAAATGAAACCTTTTTGGCTTTGTAGTCACGCTCAATGTCACAGGGAATCTAACAGAGGAACTTCTTGTGTGACCTATATATATATATATATATATATATAATCTGTACAGTGTGGACATGTGTAAGGGGTGGAAGCTTAATGTCAGTGATGTTCCTGTACATGTTAACCAAATAAAGCCAGTTTTGAAGGATGCGCTGCATGTTTTAAATGCATTAAGGAAGGCGACGATTCGCTTCAGCTTGGCATTTCAGCAACAAATGTAGATGTTTTATGTTAGTCGATAAATCTTTTAATCATTTGCTAAATAACTGAAATACATTATATAATTAAATATGTTTTAATTTGACCTGGAGAGACTCACACTGAGAAAAACTTGAATTAGAAAATTATTATACAATTCAATCAATTTTTGCTGGTAACAAATTTAGATTGTTGAAAATGTTTCTATCTAAGGAAAACCAGCTGATCGCGAGCATGCATGTAGCGAGAGTGGAAAGGAAAACTCCCTTTTAACAGGAAGAAACCTCCAGCAGAACCAGGCTCAGTGTGAGCGGCCATCTGCTGAGACCAACTGGGGTTCAAGGAGACAGAAGAAGACATAAATGAAATAACTTCTTTGGTGCTCGGGCCCCGGCAGAAGACTTTGATGCTGTAAATCAACATTTGCTTGGATGAGTTACAAAGGAAAAGGTTTAGAATAGTCTTCAGAGGGTGAGTGGGACTTAGACTAGTCTGAGATAGGAGGAAGAGGAAATGGGGGGGGAAGAAGGGTGAAATTTTGCTTATGTGCAGTAGAGAGAAACGGCCAGGAGCTAGATGGAGGGGGTCTTTAAAGGTTATTGACTCTGGACGAGGTACGGCCCCCCGAGTTGATTGGCTGGAGCTGAACAAGGGATTTCGCAGGTGGTTCAGGTGAGGCTAATAAGAGTCGTCCAGATTTAATTTTTGTTTAAGCTTCATTTAGAAAGTTATCTAATGTTAAATATCCAAATATATAAATTATCCTACTTTTACTTGCTGATATAGCTAGATATTCACCAAAACACAGTAGTGACCAAAGATTTTTAAGCACATAAATGATTGAAGACTGACACAGCATGTGTGGAAATTTATACATGGTCTTCACTTTTATATAAAAAAGTTAGCATTCCCACTTTTATTCTAATATCACCAAATAAACTCCAGTCCAATCACTGACTTTTAGATGTCACCTGTAAATATACTGAGTTTTTTTCAGTATATTTGATTAAACTGTCATGAAAAAAGCAGGGATTTAAATTGGGATTTTTTGGAATGTGTTGTGAGGAATGCGCATGACGGTGACAGGAGGGATATGTTTTGTTTTTGTTTATTTTAAAGGAAGTTGGTCAGTGCTGGTATAAACAGCTGGATGTTAAATGATGAGCAGTTCTTGAAGAAAAGTGTGACAGAGGAGGGAGACTGAAGAGTTGTTCAGAGCAAGTTATAAAGAAGAGTTTTATATAAAGGTGAAATCCATCAAAGCCCAGACCTGAATCCGATTTAGAATCAGTGGCAAGCCTTGAAAAATTGCTGGTCAGATGCGTGTGGATACTGTCAGAATAATAGCTGTTATTTTGAATATTTATGTGAATCCTCCTAAACCTCTTATACATTTATATTTCTCATTGTAGAGATTCTATTCTTTACAGATGGGATTACAATGATCAAGCCCACTTTAGGTCTTTGGATGAAGATCATCCCCTCAGCTTTAAACAATAACAATATGATTACAATCTGTTATTCTAACTGGAGGATAATAAAGATTAGATGTTGTCTGTTTTGCCCACTTGGCGGGCTTCAGTCGACTATCTGCCCTGTATGTTCAGATTAAATCTTCATTCAGTGACCCAATTCCCCAGACAATCTCTGACAAAATGATACCCGGGGATAAATCAGCATGTATTACACATGCTCCTCACCACCCTCCCCCTTTCCAACACCTTACCCGGTTTAGTTTGGAGTCAAACTTGAAACCAGCTCAGCAAGCTGAGTTCAGAAGTGCCAGATAAGTATTTGTCAACAGAACAGCTGGCATACAATGCCCTCTTGTAGCTTTATGCCACAGCATATGCCAGCCGCTCGTAGTGTGCGGTAATTTAGCCTGGGCTGGTTTCTACAGGAACAGATGGGCTGGAGTATTGTTATTCTCACTCCAGCTCAGGGTCCCTGGGGGGAATCACTAAATAAAATCAAAGCAGATGGACCTCTCTGGGCTAGGCTGTGTTTATGATAAACAGCCACCACAACCGGTGTCCATCCAGCATCTCAGCCCCGCCCTCCTTACAAACTAACAACGAGCCCCAGCACGGCAGTCTGACCTCACCTGCTCTGAGCTTCACCCAAACAACTGCCAAACCCAAACACATGAGGAGGAAATGCATTATGAATGTCCATGAGCTGAGGGGAGTTTCAGTAATTTCAATTTCAACAAATCTTTTCTTGACCTTAAACTGTAAAATTTTCTCAAAACAGAAACTCTTATTTTGGTGCAGATTTAGAAATGTTACCTATTATTTCTCCCTGATAGAGGACTGTTTTGTTCTCTTCTACCCTAATCTTAAAAAAAAAAAAAAAAGATCATTGGATCAGGTCACACTTCCATACCATCAGACACAGGCCTTGATGGCAATGTGGTCGCAGCAAACAGCCTTTCATAAGCCTCGGTGGTGTCCTCAGCTTTTATACAGTACATGGGAATGCAGGGCACTTCACACTTAGCATTGAACTCTAAATCTGCTTTCATTCCCATGGGAAAAGACAGCAATAAACAAAGGAATCCTATCAGCACAGGAGGAAGGTAAATGTTTAAGGCCACTCAGACAACAGGAAAGCAGTGATTTCCGGCACTAAAGATGAAAAAGAGTGCAGCATGAATGTTTTTAAGCCAATCAGTCCTAACCCAATATACCACTTCAGTGTTGTTTCAACTCCATCACGGTAACTGGTTTTATTTAGTGTCTTCAAAGGTCACTTTCTGATGAAGTCAAAGTGCTGTAATCAACCTAAATGTTTATTGCCAAAAGTATTAACTCTGCACTTACTCAGTCACTTCAAGCTGTCCTAAATTCTGAGCTTAAGATGTTTTTCTTTTTCTTCAGGCCTGAGAAGACAGTTATTTTTCACCATTATCCTGATCAGTTTCTTTTCCATGGACAGATGCCCCCCTCCAACACTACGCCCAGACATTAGGTAGATCTATCTATGTGATTCATCAGCAGAAGGACATTGCTGCCTCTGGCTTGTGTGTCAGGACACAAAATGAGCATTTCTGTCACTGCTGGTTCTTACCTGTCTTCTGGAAGTTTTTTTTTTGTTTCACTGGTCTAAACAAGTATTTTATGTTTGAAATTTGGTTTGAATAGGTTTGCAATACATTGTTCCCACGGGTCCTTAAAAAGTCTTAAAAGGCATTGAATTCTTCAAATTAAAACTAAGGCCTTAATTGGTATTAAAATGTCTTAAATCTTAAGTCTTTTGTAAGTCTTAATTTTTTAAAACATCATAAATAGGATTATTTTTATAAATAAATAAAATAAAACATTAAAATTGACTATTTTTTAATAAAAAAAAAAATGGCTTACTATTATTGGTTTCGTCCCGATTGCGGAATCAATAAAAGCGTTGTTGCTGCCGGGACATTTGGGAGATGCGCCATTTACTTTTTGTCTGGAAAATATGAGCAAGTGTAAATGTAACGAAAATTGGCTACCCAGCCAAGAGTCTCCATGTACCAGGGAACATACATGAGGCTCAGTGTATTTTGTGCAAGAAGCGATTCAAGCTCAGAACGATGGGAATTAATTCAGTAGAGTCACATGCGAAGCGTGAAACACAAAGCGTCAAAATCGAGTTACCGAGAAACAGCCGGTATTTCTCAGTTTAGTTCCACCCTTGTCTCTGCAACACTTCCAATTATTACAAAATTAAACATACTAAGAAAACGTTNTAGTTGGACAAAAAAAGATGTTGGTATCATCATCCAGCAGAGCGAAATGAGAATGAGCTGATCAAGCACTCTGATTCAGAGCCTTGCAGAATTCTTTGTACATCTTGATTTTTTTCAACATTTTTCACATTTAAGCCACAAACCATATTGTTTTTAACAGACCAAAACATAGTAGCTTAAAATTTTGTGCAAGTATTATTTTTCAAACAGTTTTTTTTTTGTATAGAAGACAGGTAAGAGGGAATATATTGTCAAAAGGAAGCCACCATCTCCACAATAAAGGGTCAACCTGATCCCTACTTGTAACATTTCTGACAAAGGCCATACTTATGAGAAACATTCAAGTAAGCATCTACCGCCTTACCATTGTCATGTTATGTGTCAGCCTGACTTATCATAAACCAAGGATCACAGGTCTAAATGACTGCAGACCTGTCACCCTGACTTTTGTGGTAGTGAAGTCTTTCGAGCTCCTTGTTCTGAGACGCCCCCTAAATCGATTACAGACCTGCTTCTGGATTTTCCGAACTTCTTCTCTTCGGGAACTGTACCCCTCCAAGACCCAGAGGTGAGCAGGTAGGATTGCAGCTAACCCCTCCTAGCCTGGACATGAACTTTCTTTAGACTCTCCCCTTGCATAGGAAGCTGTGGTCCATCAGGATAAACCCCCCCCAGACAGAAAAACAGCTTCTTCCCATCTGCTCCCAGTCTTATTAACAAGGCCCAGGTCCTCCTCTGCCATCCATCCATCCATCCATCCATCCATCCATCCATCATTATTTGAATAGTGGGTACCAGCTGCAACATGATTTTGGCAGTATCATACTGTGGGGTTGTTCGTCTTAAGGATTGACAGGGAAGCTGGTCAGAGTTGATGGGATAAGACTAAACACTGGACAACCCTCAAATAAAAAGCTGTTAGAGGCTGTAAAAAATACTTTAGATGGCGCAGAGCTTCACTTCCCAGCAGGACAAAAATCCTAAATGTAAATTCAGAGCTGACCAGCTGTCTCACTGTGTGTTGTGGAGGATGCAGCACTGCAAACTGGAAGAAAGTGGTAAGAACAGCAGAGAAGATCATTGGGGCTTCTCTTCCCTCC